TGCCACCGCCCCATCGGCGGTTCGAACGCCACTTTCTTCTCCACCCACCGGTACGACTCGTTCACCAGCCTCTCGTCCCACCCCATTGCCCTAGTTTATTCCAATCATATATTATATCTTGAAAATTATAAAGAATTATATATGCAAACATGACATTAAATATATATAACCATCGACATGCAATTATAAAATGTTTTCTTTTGCACATTGTATAGTAATTTATGCAAACACGACCATATTACATGCATTCACAATTTTCACTATATATATACACATCATAAAATATATCGGCTTATATAGATATTTCACACTCTTACATCAATAAATAGAGGGTTTTAAGAGGATTTCGATAATGATAAGAGGTCAACGAGAAATAAATACCATACAAAAAATATTGTTATATATCTATATATTGACGCGTGTATATGTGCTATAACGTATCTACATATTTAGCTTCTGTTGATTTGTGAAATGCATGTCAAACTATAGAACGACATCGTTGTATGTGTAAAAAATGTGTGTATAATATATATACACTGACCTGACGTATTGCAAACTGGCGCGTGTGTAGAAACCGGCGTTAAGGGCGCTACCGCCGCCGAGAACGCGGGCACGAGCGTTTATAACGCCGTCTTCTGATACGAAACGCTGCGACGGCGATTTTGGGGACAGGTCGGAGAGTGCGGCTCCAAACGCAGTGAGTCGGGTGATGTTAGGGTTGTGGTAGGGCGAGCCACCGCGCTCCAACAGCAAAACGCTAGCGTTTCGTGATAGCGTTGCGGCCAAGGGGCAACCTGCGGTTCCGCCGCCGATTATGATGTAGTCGTAGTAAGACGTGGTTGGTGCCCTGGTCGCATCGTGCATGAATGAGTAGTTTGGAGCTGCGGTTGCGTTTTCAGTTGCATTAAAAATGTTAGAAAAAATTAAATTGTGTGATATTTGTTAATATTTAAAAATTCATATTTTCTAATATTTTGAATAAGAAATAATATCTTTACTGAATTTCACCTCATGGTTAATGAGTTCTGAATGTTGTAAATAAATATATACATACATACACGCATACATATACATATGAAAATACCCATAAATTTACAAATTTGCATGAAATACGTACCTTTCTCAGACGCAGCAGTGGGAGGATGGAGAAAGAGAGCAAGGCCAAGAACTAATCTCCACAGCCATAACATGTCACCATGATCCATAATTTCTTAATTCAAATTTTTTTTTATTGGTACCACCTTTAGAATAAAAGTTTGTATATAAACTATATATATGTATATATGTGTGTGTGTGTGTGTGTATAATCTATGGTTGAAAATCTATAGGGGAATGCTTCTTGCCGTCCTCTGTATATATATATAGGTCAGTGTTCACTAAGAGTCCAAATGAATTACGAGGAAAATGCAAAAGATTCTATACCTATTTTTTCTGGAAATTGTTTTTAAAGAAATGGATTAAAAGGCCGAGAAAAGTATGCGGAATTCAAGAAAATGCAAATTAAATGAGAGAAGGGACTAATGGGCCGACCAAATTGATAGGAACACAACAAGAAGTTGTTACTCTTTGAGTGCTTGGCTTGTCTCTCGTGGACATGGTGAAGACTAGGGGTGGCCATTTCGGGTTTCGGTTCGATTTTCGGTTCGGTTATTTCGGGTTCGGTTATTTCGGTTATAAAAAATCATATCCAAACGGTTATATAGATTTATTCGGTTCGGTTCGATTCGGTTTCGGTTCGGTTCAGTCCGGTTTTTGTATAATAAAATTATAACCAAATGGTTAAATTTTTCGGTTTATTCGGTTCGATTTTAAATCGGTTTGGTTCGGTTATGATATATTTAAAAAAAAAGAATATTAATCTTATACAAACTTCAAAATATTTATCCAAATAAATCTATAAAATAATTGATACTCCAAAAAAGTTAAAAAAAATCTACAAAAACTTCAATAATTAGGTTAAAAGTTAAAAATATTAAATTTTATAATTTATTAGATGAAACACATAAGGTACAAATGAACTACAAAAAAATAACACTAATAATAATAAGGGTAAAAATTAAAATATTATAAAAATTCTAATAACCGTTCGGTTAACCGCGGTTATTCGGTTATTAAACGAACCGAACCGACCCGAACCCGAACGGTTATTCAACTTCCTCAACCGTTCGGTTATTAAGTAAATAACCAAACCGAACCGAACCGAA